TAAAAGATAAATAAAAGTTAACTCTGTGAAGCAAAAATTAAAACTCCTTAGGAACTTGTATTTAGAAAGTTCACCTTGAAGTTTTCAGGCGTGTGCTTTTTCCTTTTCCCTGTAGTTAGTTGCTGCTGATTATTGGTCTACATGTAAATTATTCCACCTGGGACTAGTGTCTATATCTAAGGATTCAGTAATAGTACTTTAAAAGATTTTTCTGCAAATGGTAGGATAATGATTTCTGTGGGGAGAGACATTTTCACCTTTTGTTGCCTTAAAGTCTTGTCATTTTTTGCCTCAGTAATGACACCCTTGGCACTAATAGGGGTACAGGCTTCCCTTTTGTGCTTTTGACTAAATATCAGTCTGAGTAGTCTGATGATGTGAGTAGTGAGCAGCACTGTTTGACAAAATTCCAGCAGTTGAAATAGTGAGATTCCAGGGCTGTCCTTGCTATTTTCTTAGGGAGCACTAGGTAGAAAGGTGAAATAAATATCTGTGTTCTGTATGAAAGGTTACATGTAGGACCATTGGTCAGGACCAATTGTGTCTTTTAAAAGAGCTGTACTGAAATGAAGTAGAAAAGGATAGGATGGTATTATTCAAAAAAATCTTCTCACAAATGGACATGTATTCAAGTCTGGCCTCATTCCAATAAATACGAAAATGGCCTCTGTCGAAATGTTTGGAATTCTGGTAAATCAAAATTTTGTTTAGGTCTAATGTACTTTAAAATATACTTATCCTTTTAGTGGGTTGTCAGTCATTAACTGTGAGATAATATTCACATTATAGAATTTACTATGTCAATCATTATTTTGTACAGGGATGCAAATCGTTTTAAAGTGGTTTATATTAACAATGCTATACACCATGGCCAGGTCTCATTACAGGACATTTTCATCACCCCCAAACCCCTGTTTCCTTAACTTCAAGTTGCATCAGGAACTTTGGTCATGAAATTTAAATGAAGAGAGGTAAAAATACTACAAGGGATAGCAGGTTTGGGCTGAGTGCCTGGAATGGGCATTATGATTAAAAAAAAAAAAACCTTTAAAAATATTGTTTAGAGTTCTGTATGTTGGCAAAGAGATGTCTCCTGATTTTTCTGAGGAACAGGAAAGCAATAGTCTGATTTGTAAAACTAATGAGTAAGTTGTCCAATGTTTAAAAACAGACTCGTGTCACTGAAAAAAAATCAGTATCATATTTATGCTATTATAAGTTCTCTCCCAAAATGTGGCTGGCTGTCTTCTAACATTGAGCCTTAAATGTGCCTGGCCTGGGATGTACCAGTGCTACCTGGGGAGTAAAACCAAGAGATAGCAGGATTCACTGGGGCAATGGGAATAGGCAAATCAGGACTAGATACCTTACTAAGTAGTTGTGCATATTAAGGAAAAACGAAAAAGTGTATTCCTTTAAAATCTATATTGTGCTTGAAATCTATATTGTGATCAAAGATAGGAGTTGTATCATGTCAGATGACTACTCTTGTACTAACAACAAGATTTAGGAAGGTCTTTTGCAAAGTAACTTGGTTCTCCTAACACAAAGGAAGCAATGATTTTTAAAAAAAATTTAACCTTATATGCTGATATTTACCAAACTTCTAAAAGGAGTAAAGTAGGTATTTTCACTGAATTCTGCTAGTAAATAAAACTGAAAGCACTTCAGGTACAGGCAGTGGAAATTATGGAAGGAATCTTCTTTGGGTTGTGATTATTTGCACAAAGTAAAATCAACAAACAACATTCAGGCTACAAGCTTTCTGCTGTGCCAGTTTTATAATAAAGATGTTTTTCTTTTCAGTTGAACTTTCCATGGACATAAATCCTTTATTTCCTTGGAAGCAATTTAAGTACATTGCTAGTAAAATAGTTGACTATGTTTATGTAAAAAACAAAACAACAAAATCTGGTAGCTTTTCAACTTGAATATGAATATGATAAGATGTCCTAACATTCTGAAATATCCCTCTGATCAGAATAGTAACCTGTAAACTGCTTAGCAAATGAACCAAACAAGGAAAATTGCACATTTGGGTAAAAGGTATTTTAATTTATTTAGAAATATTTCATAAATTTGCTTGTTAAAATTGTAAATATCAATTTGTTACTATAATAAAGAGCTTCTGTTAATCCAGGTAACGTAATATATCACTTAAAATCACCATTTTTCTCTTCTTGCAATTTGAATTGTTGTGATAAGGCAGTCCTTTAAAGTATGTAGTTGATTTCACTTGTAAAGGCTGGAAGGGAACTCCTTTTCCAAATAAATCCACTCTCTATTATATAGTCTAAAGTTATACCATTAGAGATATTATTTTGGTTTATGAGGATCTTTTGTTAATTGCCAAAACAACTACCTATGAAATGAGTGACTCATTAAGCATTCCCTTATATTTTAACTGGACCACTCGCTGAGAGTACATCGGAGATGTACAAGCTGGACAATGTTCTTTCTTACACTTTTCTAACTAGAACTGCTGAAAAAAAAATGCTATCTTTCTTCTCTGGCGAAGAAGTGTTAAGAATTGCAGCCCAAAGCTGCTTATCATCATGTTTCCAGTTTTTTTTTATATCTAGCTTAATAGTGGGAAATCTCAATGTAAAGAGTAGTACAGTAGAGTGGCAGTGTTCTGATGGTGCCTGACAGCTTGAATCCACCGGACTCTGAGGCTAATGGATGCCCTTGATTGATTTGTTTACATGTGCCAATGGGTCCTTTCTCCTTAAGCTAGATCTGAGAAGCACAAAGTAAGGACACAAGATAACTAGAGGAAGGGTGGTGTTTTAGGTCCAGAAATATGTGTGTGTGGGTGGGTCAGCCCTGATTGTTCTGTGGTTATATAAGGACCATTGTGTGTTAAAGTTATTGGATATCTTTTCAGAATTTATTTTGAAGTAAATTGAGAGGTAGGGCAGAGGGACCAAGACCTCTAAAAACATCAACTAACATTACTCTGGGACCAGAATGGCCTTAACAGCCTCCAAGACTACTGAATTCAGGTTGAGGCAGCATGGGACTTGCAGAAGGCTAAGAATGTATAAATACTAAAATATTTGATTGAAGATATTTGACCTGTATGTTGGTTCAGTGACTCATTTTCTTCCTGTATAAGAGAAGCAATGTATATGTCTATAAGAGTCACTATTTTGACCCATAACAGACCTTAGAATGACTTTATATTTAAATTCAGTTTTTCTGGGCATAAGTACAGCCTACTTTCCCCCCTTTTACTGGTAGTTTTTTTTAAAAAACAACATTATAGAGAAAAAGGGGAAAGAAAGAAAGATGGAATTTATTATTTTTTGCCTCCCCTAAACTGTGAATGTTCTGGAACCTCAGTATCATTTAAATTTTGACCTATCAAATATCTGAAACCAAGTTGTCATTGGACAGTGATATTATTTTTGTCCAAAATGAAAGTAATTATAGTTAGATATCTTCCAATAAATAGTTTTTTGCACTAGGTTTAACACAGTAGAGAAGTTTAAAGCATTGTTACATGAGTTGGAGAACTTTCTCCAGTGTGTTCTAGGATCTTTGTCAGCCTCTTCTTATACACATACTTGAAATCTGACTATGATGCCTTGGAATAAAGACCTTTAAAAGGATAATAACCTCTTAATAATGTCTAATGGATTTCATTTGCTTACCTTTCATGGTGTTAAAAACAAATTTATAAACTGTTTTAATGTTTTTTTGTTGAAAGAGAAAAAAGTTGACCTTCAGCATATGCTTCAAGGTGACAGTGTTACATGCCATTTGAGCCCTGGGAATGCTCTATTCAAAATTGAAAATGAAAACCAAATTCATATTAAGAACTTTACTATTTAGTCAGCATGATGGGAGTGTTCCCCTTTCTGAAGCCACCACCTCGCCTCCTACTTCTTCCTCCATTTGTTTCCAAGGTGCTCCTCTTTTTCCAGAATTACTTATGAGTAATAAAGGAAGCCAGAGTAAGAACAATGGCATGTTCCTGGCTTTGCAAGAGTGGCACATATCAAAGGAAGACATTTATCCCAGGGAGCCAGCGCTCTGCAGGAGGTCACCAGACAGAAATAAGGTTGATACTGCTGCTACATAGCAGAGAGAAAGTCCTTAGTCTGTTAAAGCTGGGGAAAGCACTTAATGCAGGGTAACTGCTGCTCTGGCAGCTGACTAGCTGGACTATGTTATGTGTTTGTTCATGTCTAACTCAGGCAAATGAATGAATGTCTCTAAACCTCTGCTTATTCTTACAGATTCCATAAGTGCACCTATCTTAAGTTGTTTTGAGAACTAAGTGTATGTGAAATGCTTACCCAAATGCCTGGCACGTAGTATTACATGTTAACTTGTATTGCTGCTAATGATGACAATCTGAGGCCCCCCCCCCCCCCCCCAATAAGCATATTTAGAGCCTCTTGGTAAGAGAAATTTAAAAAAAAAACCTCGAAACCAATGTAGCTATTACATTTTTCTGAACTAGATTTCCCAGATTTCCTCTCTCACCAGCCTTCCCTGCTTCGTTTCTGCGTCATTCATCCCCTGGTAACACTCTTGCCTCCTCCTTGTGCCTGCCAGCCTACCGGCCCATAGAAACAAGACGCATGCAAGAGCAGAGCATGAGGCACCCCAACCTATACCTCTGAATGAGCTCCCGCCCCACTAAGAGCCACATCCCTCAGACTGGCAGGCCTTCCTTCTTAGGCTATGTCCTTCCCTCACTGTCAGTGGCACTTGCCAAAACTATGTCAGTGCCACTCTTCATCTTCAGAGACTTCTCCTGAATGAACCACTTGTTCATTTTCTGCCCCTCTAAGGTGAAGGCAATGCAGGCTGTAGCTGGTGATTCACACGCTGTCTCCATTCATCCCTAATGGGGTCAGCCCAGCCAGCAGGCTGCTGGACCTTCATGCCACCCAGCCTTGGCCTCTTATCCTGTTTGTTGCCAATGAAACTATGTGATTCACCCAGGATGAGTGGCCAAGGTGCAGCTGTCACATGGTGATGCTGACCTATAGGGGCTGGCTCTTTTTCACAGAGCTTCTTTATCTTCTCATTGAGTTACAACGCCTTGATGGCAGCCTCTTGCTTTGTTATTGCCAAATCAATTTGTAGCTTTTTCAGTTTCTTTTTGTGCTTTAGTTTCTTAAAAAAAAAAAGTTTCTATTATTACAGACAAGTGAATCAAAGGAATCAAAGGGATTAATGATGACTGAACAAACATAGCCTTTGGAGCCCCACTCAGAGGAACCTCCTCCTGTTTGTCTAGAAGGAGTGCTTAGGAGTCTCTGACAGTGTGTGTTCTCAGAACTTTTTAATACCTAGCAATAAAAACCCATTCCCTACATCATAAGATTTTCTAACCTCTGAGAAGTTGTTAACAATCCACTGTGGACTGGCCATTTATTTTTTTAAATTTTATTTTATTGGTACATTTTAGGTGTACAATATCATGACATTCATCATTGGAAATTTGCACCTTTACATAATCTCTCTTGGTTCTTAT